TAGAAGCAATGAGATTCCTGTTCAGCCTGCTACAGAAAGGAGGGATCTGAATGGGGATCCACAGGCACTCAGATATAGGCCTCTGTTCTGAGCAAAACAATGACATATAACCCAGAAATTCCCAAAAGATTTAGTTACGCCCTCTTTCCTGCTCCTCTGCACCAAAACAAGGTTTATTTTCACAAACATCTCAGCAACAGTGCTGGCTTAACACTTATTCCCTCCAGTTTACTCCCTTCTTATACCACCACCTTATTTGTGCCAGGACAACTGCTGGTACAGGCATACACTGAACTGTATTGAGGAAAATAACCCTCTCCTACCCCTTCCTCCCTCCCTCCCCAAAAAAAAAACCCAAGAGAATTTTAAAAAACATTAATTTATTTCCTCATCTTGTTCACTGTGCAGTCACACTGTTACGATGGCATACGTGAATATGTGGGTGAAGATGGGCAGTAACCAAATGAATGACAAACAGATGATACTACTGGGTTTGTGAAACCACAGCCTTGGTGGAGGCTGAGCATGACCATTAATCACTGCTGAAGCACATTTAACTTTGGCACCAGTCAAACTATTCGGCTCTTAACATTTTAACCTGAGCACCTGGCCAAAACTCAGGTAGGTTTTTCCAGTTAGGAGATCCTAGTATAGGATTTAACTACAAAATAGTGTTGGTTTAATTATTCCTAAGTTCACAAACAATAATTTGTTTTAACCGCTAGTTTTAATAACTAGCATTAATTTTTCATTTCAAGGCATTCCACCATCCTCTCATGCTGTTGTCCACTTCCACCTGGCTCACTGGGCTTTCCGCTCCATCACTCACAGCATACTTGCAAAGGTTGCTGGATCAGCCTTTGCCACAGCAGAGGAACAGGAGAAGCCAGGGAAGAAGTGGGACTCTTCAGGTGTAGCTCTGCTGCTGGGAGCATAGAAACTTTCATCAGTGCTAGACTGTTTTTAGGAGACTCCTGACCTTGTTTCCAGGCTATGCTTCCACACCGCAGTTTCAGTCTCTCAGCTGTGCCAACTACAAGTACTACTTGAGTACTCGCACGCTCACTGAAGAGTTAGAAACCTCCCACAGTGAGAAGGCAAAAACAAGAGCTTACTTTACTCTTTGTTTGTTTTTGTTTTTTTCCATCCAATTTATTTATCAGCTATACTTCCAAGATAAAACTAACAAGCCCTTTTACAGGGTCAGATCTTCTCCAGCTGTGCAAGAATCAAACAAATGAGACAGCTGAAAGTGCCCCCAGCTGGTAAAGCATGATGCTGTTCTGAGAGCTCTTGCTCAGCTTTGCTTTACTCTTACTCAAGACATGCTTCCTACTCACTCTGTGGTTTTTCTGTTTTAGTTCCCACACTCAGCTCTTTCTTCTGCATATGTGCTTTTCCCCCTCTCACGATTACTTAGTATTGCCCATTAGTAAAATTTGTTCAAATATCTGAGTAGCCTGTGCTTACTTTTTTCCCAGAACTGCTGACGTGCTTGAGTATCTTCTAAAACACAGTATCATTTCTTTAATATAAAATTACAACAAATACAGGGCATCAGTAAAACCACCTGAGTTCAGGAAAACACCTGACTAGTTAAAAATGGAATATTTAAGCACACACAAACACATCTCTTTAGCCCAGCTGCATCTTCCCCTAGATACAGTCACATATGTACCTACAAGCTTAAACTGGTCATAGAAAAGGAGATTTTATATGAATAATTGTAAAAAAAAAACTTAAAGGGAATCAGTAGTTCTAGTTTTCCCCCTTGAACATTGTACACCTTGATTTCAAAAAGAGATAAGCTCTGTGCCTACCAAGAGGGGATAAAACCACTTTTATGATCCTATATTGCATAATGCCTGCAGATTTGAAGGTAAGTAGTTACAGATATTTTAGAGACATTACCTCTCTTCCCAGTTTCATCAATTCATATTGCAAAACAGGTTTTAAAGCCTTCATTTAGCTGCAGAAAACATAGTGGCTGCTAGAATGGAGCAGTAGTCAATATATTTTAAGGTAATTTCAAAGATGTGCACTGTGAAACTTAGAAAATTTGCTCAATACCACATACATTAATCCTATATCATCTGAAGAGGAAAGGCTGAAAAATAAATTTCTTTAGACTTACTTCTGCTTAAAAAAAATAAATCTTCAGAATGGCATTATACAAATGAAGTTATGGTGACCAACTTATACTGAACCCTTCTGTCCAACAGTGCTTCTACTTGCTCTGCTCAGTGTTTATTTTCATTTCTGAGCACATCAGACTGGCATTCCACTTGTAGGTGTAGTAAGAGAAAACCAAACTTGAACTCCCTTTGTACACTGTACAACTTGCAAGCCTGGATGCCTACATTAAGCCAAGTAAAGGTCAGAGCAGACAAGCTGTAATTATACTTGTCATTAGAAGAAACTCAAGGCCTCAGTCCAGAAATGTGTCAATGAAATTGCTTAGCCTTCAGTTGCCGAGTACTATACAGATGTTCAGCAGTACTTTCCTAGATAGGATCCTAAATACCGACTGGGATTCCAAGTACTTTACAGTAGATTCTCCAGCCTTTTCAACAGGACTGTTTTTACCTCACTCCATAGTACCCAGCCATGTGACTGCTTAATGCTCATGAAGTCCCCTGCCCATATCACAGCTGCACCTGTGGCTGCATTAGCCACTTTTAAAGCTTTGTACTACATGATTTATGAGAAGTACAATCACTGCCTCAAGTAGAAGATAGTACCTCTAGTAGATGGATTCTTGTCTGCTCTGGTTGAAATTATAGGAAATTCTCCAGTTTTAAAGTTTTGCTGGTCTTGGCAAGAAGGTGTAGTAACAACAGGTTAAATGCCTGAGCTGGCCTGATCTGCTTTTTCAGCCCTAAAGGTTGCTTTTCCATGTGAGAATCAGGATGCTGTCACGTCAGCACAAGAAAAAGGTGCTGGGTAACCATATGTATGGTATCAACGTGCGTAACCATATCTGTGGTATCTGTTCGGGGGGAAAAGCATCACTTCCCAAAACTGCTAGCATGATACCTTCCCACAAGCATGACATTGTCTATTTTGGAGGGGAAAAACGAAGAAAGACAAGATTCTCTAATTATCATACTATGTTCCTCATAGTGTCAGGTGACCTACCCCACTGTGGTGAAGCACACCACATTTAGGCTGGCTAAATCCCACTAGGATATATAATTTGATGTGTAACTTAGATCTAGGCATGTCAGCCAAGTGACTGAGCAGATGTTGCATTTAAAAGTGTGTCAACTTTTTCCTGGACAATTTTAAAGAAAAAGCAAACAAAACTAACCCAGACTCTTCCATCATCCTGATTACAATCTTTGGTGATTATTTTACTCCAAATTTTTCTCTGTGTCATGTGATTTTTCCCTCTCTGTCCTCCTCAAACCTTGGCTGTGGGAGTTTTCCCAACCCAAAGTGCCACTGACGGGAAAGCAAGAGCAAAACTGCTGCTCCGGATCACGTGAGCTGTCACAGAGACCCAATCCCTGACTCTGACATTGCTCTATGTATTTTAATGTCAATCTGGAGAGGCAACCTGTCTTTAAGCTACCATTTGCATATGATCACAGAAGTCTGAAGGGAGTACATTCTCCAACTCATGACCAAAGCAATGGTCATGCTCCTACATCCTACTTTTGTCAAGCAAATACCTGCTCATCTAAATTACATGTCAAAGATTTGGGGGGAAGGCAGCCTAAATTTGTACTAAATGTGCAGTTTAAACGAACTATATAATTTCCAGTACAAGTCCATCCATCAAGTTTTATTGCAGTTTCTGTTTAACTGACTTGCAGCCCAATTCATCTCTCGTAAGTTGGTTTCCACAGCAGAATGGATGGCAAACTAATACAGGAATGCACAGTCACAAATACACTGAGCATTCACTGCCTGTACACAGTGAATCAGTATATGATTCACCCACTTTCATAAAACAGTTGTGACCTTTCATCTGACTACTTCCTCAAACACAATACAGAGAAATATATATAACATATAGAAACTAGGAACCAACAAATTGGGGGAATAATAATAGCACATCTCATGATTTTTTTGCTATTGTGCTAATCAGTCCTTACTACGTGGTCTATTAAACATTTCTGTCATCTCTTGCTGTCCTTAGACTAACCAGATCCACTAAAGCACAGGTTGCTCTTTGTTATGAAATGAGCAAAGGCAAAGAATATGTAGTGGCCTTGCAAAGGGATAATTCTTTGAAAAATATATAAAAAAAGAAACAATGTCATATGAATAATATACCAATCTGCAGATAATCTTGTTCTGTATTTAAAAAGTGACATTTATTTGTACAACTTTCCTTTCTGCTCCTTACAGTGAAAAGCTGATAACAAGCAACCCTGAGCACTAACATTGAATTTTATCAACAAACACAATTTATACTGAGAATTAGACAAGGTGAAGTTAACATGCTACAGCATTGCACCACAGATCTTTTTGCCACAACATAATTGAAGGCATAAAATTAGACACAACCAAAATCCTCTCAGGAACCTACTAGAAATATCTCACCGTATTAGGCATTTTGAAATGATTCATTAAATATTATAGAAAAAGCCCTACTTGGTCTCTAGAAACACAAGGTGATACACACCAAGAGGAAAATGTATTTTAAACATTATGCAAAGCTTTGGCAGAAAGATTCAAGTGGCACCATTATAATCCAAACCCCAATCCACAGAGTTGAGACAAAGAGAAAGATCAGAGCCCCACTGGATTCTACCTGGACATCATACATGTAAAAGAAACATATGGTAAATATGAGAAGCAAAGGCTAAATATATTTTCAAGGGATACCATCCTGCAAATACTTTGCAAACAGTGAAAAATGGTGCATTCTTCTCACAGTATATAAGACTTTGTAATGAGGTGGTTTCCTGGAATGTCATGGAGCTTGCTGCTTGCACTATGAGTTCATATCTGGGAGAGACAGTGGAGTCCACAGTGTGTTACAAAATCTCCAGGGAGTGGAAGAACTGTGAAAAAGGCTGACTACCAATCAGGTGAAGTCACCACAGGGATGCTTTGCAGTTGTTAATGATCCAAATTTTCAACCAGGTAGCTAGAAGCATGTGCCCAACGCTTCCACACATTAGACAACACAGTGGGTCAAAACGAGTCAACCAAAGAACTATCAGTTGATATTAGATTTGTATTACAAAAAATCTTGTAAACCTCATAAGGAATTGGGTCTCATTACCCTTGGCACTGTACCAATAAGTAACAAGGAGCTCCCATCCCAAACAACGCACCATCTTAACTGCTGACAAGATGCCACAGGAGGATGAAACACAGGAACAAGATGGGGATGGATAAGCATAAAAATAGCTTGAAGAAAAGCAGAAGTTCAGAAGTTCCCCTTTTCTTAACTGTTGATTTATATCTTGGCAGTGTGGCAAAAATGCAGATGACTTAAAGCTACTGTATTCACCCTTAAAGAGAAATTTGCCTTTGCCTCATTTGGAACTCTGTTTCCACTGCTTTATCAACAAAAGATTAGCACAGTTCAAGCAGCTCAGATGTTCAAAAGATGATGCAAATTCTGAAAGTCCAGGAATGTTTGGCAGTTAATGGAATGCTGCAACAGGCAGACACCCACAGGTATAAGATGCAACATAGTGAAATACTCAGGTCTGCAGTAAAGCTTAACTACACCATCAAACACAGCTGTACCAGTCACATGCTGGGGATTTCCCAGCTGCAGACTCCCAAAGCACACAAGTTTCAAACAATTCATTCACTATGTAATCAGCAACCATGTGACAATTTCATTTTCTCTTTCAAAACATCCAAACAAGTCTGGATTCAGAAAGACTGTGTGGCTCAGCCACTGTGAGTCTTTCTTAGTACTTTTTCTGCTTTTATTGTATCAAACATAACATGGCTACTACAGTAGGGCTGTACTGGTTTATCACAGAAAGTACTTCTGTGACCTTTGTTCAGGAAGGAAATCAGTGTTCTTATGTACTCACGAGACCCTCAAGATTTCCTTAGCAACGTGATCCGGAGAAATCATATCAAGACCACAGGTTAAATGTGTGACACTCGGGCATCATTAAGTTCTTAATCTCTGTCAAGGTAAGAATTAGGAAAATAAAAGCCTGCATTTAAAATTCTTTGTACATCCTAATTCCACTTGGTTATTGTTTCTCTCCTTCCTCAGTTATAAACCAGACTGAAAGCCCATGAAAGAAGAGATGCAATTGAATTTTATCAACTGTCCTTTCCTCTGCTCAATGCTATGAGTAGTCTGTTCTCAGACAGGAAAACATACCACAAGAAATTACTATTTACTTCTAGTTTCCTCTCTAGTTTGAGCTAATTGGCAGGTTTAAGCAGGAATATCACTAAAATAATTATTAATAAAATGATTTTTTAAAAGGTTTAATTGCAACATATGTGTGTTAAAGAAACAGTTTTTGCTAGGAGTGCGGGAGACAGGAGAACTACATTGACAATTATATTTCAGGAAGGAAAGAGGAAGTCAGAGGAGAGAACACTGCTAAGGGCCCTGCCCTTGGAAGGCATTTTATTTAAAATACTGAAGCAAGGAGGTATGTCCAAGCCACACTTTTTATCACCTCTGAGCAGCTATTGTTTCAGAATGCTGACCAAATTTGAATGCTCACTGCAAAATATTCACTGTGCTCTACTCCTAGGAGCAGTCTTTAACATCACTTACAAATCAGCTGGATGCTATAGATCCCTCAACACCCTTTATATCATCCCATTTAATTTACTACATGCTACTCTAAAAGGAGAAAAACATACACTAGTTTGGAATAAAAAGCTGACACATCCTCCAGATATGCAGGAGTCTGAGTCACAGAGGCAAAATGCACAAAAATAAATGGAGGGTCTGCTGTATAATATCATAAAGAACAATAAAATTACTTTTGGCATCTGCTGGTAGAATCACAGATTCTATATTCATGGTATACCACTGTGGAAGGCATGCTGGTGAATATTTTGCATAGAGAACATACATAATGTGCTGAAATATATTTGAAATCTCCCTTTTGCAGCATCACTTCTGGAACAGATGACATTACCCTCAGAGTAAGCATGTTTAGATGGATAACAGACATACAAGTGCATGACTTGGAAAGACTTCTACAACGTCTTTTTATGAAAATACATTTCCCATGATAATCTAACCTCTTAGAAAAACTTAAAAAAGTGGACAGCGCAAGTGTTAACCTCTTGTTGATTTGGAGACAAGTTGGAGTAGGCAGGAGGATGTTAAAGTAGCAACACCTGAGGAAACTGGTAAGAAAGCAAATCCAGTACATACTCAGTCTCCGAAAAAATTGAATTACCATGGCAGACAATGTTAAAGCATGAGATTTTTCAGTCCTTTATGTACTGAGATTGGAAGAGGTAATAAGCCAGAGAACATGAAAATATCCCCAATGCAAGAGAATGATGCCATTATTAGTGAATTCTGTGCAAGAATTTACTTGATTTAACCAGACTAAGAGGGCATAATGATGAGATGAGATGAGGGAGACACTGTTGCATAAAGCCATGAGCGTGATATATGTGTTACAGTTGTCACTAACCTGCAAGTTCAGAATCCTAGCAGAGTAATTAAAATGATGATTGAAATTGATGTAGGAAAGTCATAAGTGAGAAGTTTTCTTCAAGAAGAAAACTTAGGATGGTCACAAATTTGTAATTCCACAGTCAAGGAAAGGATAATTTTGCCCCAAAATACTGTCTTCTTTCACTATTCAAGTGCAAACAGAAGTCTTAATAAAAAGGTACTATATAATAATGAAGATAAACAGTAATAATTCATATGACTTAGGAGATACAAAGGGAGAAATATTGATAAAATAAGCTAGCAACATCAGTAGAAAGTCCACAGCTGACAGCACCAATGTAACATGAAGAATTTAAAAAACCCAAACTTATCAAGACTACAATATCCTCAGCAGTTATAGAAACCCATTGCCAGATGGAAATGATAAAACTTTTAATAGTGATGCAGAAGAGACAGACATTTTTAGAAATATTTTGATTCCATATTTGGACAGCTGTTCTTATGTCACATGATGATGTTGAACTATTTTCCAGTCCCTTGGTAACGAAGCAGGATGTTATACAACATGCACTAAAAATCAACATTTTAAAATCAGCCAATTCATTTGCCTCGCAACTAAGAACTAAGACTGGGAAGACCTGAGAGCTAATCATGTTTATTTTAATAAATTAAGGCATTCCAGGGAAATCCCATTTGACTGGGAAAGCATTAATCTTGTGCCAATAATAACAAAGGCCAGCAGGATGACTAGGAGAGCTAATGGACAGTTAGTCTGACCTTGCTTCCAGGTAATAAAGTTGTTATAAATTTAATAAATAATTAAAGTGATGGAATATAATTAATACAAAACCAGGGAATCCAGTTTTGTGACAAACAGATTTGTAAATAATGTTATTGCATTGTTTAATGAGATGGACATTTGGATGATGAAATTAATTGTATATTTGCAATATATTTGTGGAGAGCAGTGGACTTAATAGCGTGTGATGTTCTTCTTAAGAAAACTAGCACAATACTATCAATAAAATTTATTAAATGAACTGAAAACTGAAAGATCTAACAAAGTAATAATGAATGGAGACTTGCAGCAAACTTTCGGGCTTTCATGGTATGAAAATAAACATATACATCCATGATAAGATTTGTGAGATCAATAAAACTGTGAGGATGAAAGCTAAAGACAGTAATGTAGAACAATTTGAATCACCTAATAAACTCAGCCAGTTCTAATTAAACATGTCTTAATACAGCCAACTGTACGGGGATTAGAACTAAAAGCTCCACTACCAGCCAAGTCTCTTCCCTGGAAAACACATGGTCTGAAAAGTACCAAGAATTGCAGGTGACAAACAGCTGACATTGTAGCAAAAAAAACCCCAAACACCAAAACCACACACCAAAAAGCCAGTCCTAATCTGTTCCTTGTATGTATAGATGAAAAGCAAACCCAGCTTTTTCACTGGTGAAGCATGCAGTGAATCACAACACCAAGTTTCACATTTTAGAAAGAATGATTTCAAAATAGAATTTAAAAAAAAAAAAAGACAGACAAAATTATTTGATGAGGAAAATGTCTTACAGTGACGTGTTTGAAGGAAAGACTCACTTTTTAACATTATTAACTATCTTGACTTAATATACAGAAAATACTGGTTCCTAATGGTTATTTAGTGTAAACACAAAGTTCATGTAGAAACATGGCATATTAAACAACGAGATATTTATAGCTGAAATTACCATGGGAATTCTCAATGGCATCTTTAGTTCTTAAGGTCTTCAAGTCTGGATACCTTTTTGAGTGTTGTAGCTCAGCATGTATTTGCCTGCTTACTACTGCAGTTGAACATAAAGTACTCTATACAGAGGTAACTGGGTAATAATGACCTATAATACAGTCAGCAAAGTAACTGTCTGACTTAGCAGTTCCTTCTGGCTTTTTCCCCCCCATGTGGATACTGTAAATATATTTTTCTCTCTCTTCTGAAGAAGTGAGCTGACACCACTTCACTAATGCCTGATCCTGTTGACATTAACATGTGATTTGTCATTGATTTGCAGAGGCAAAGACCTGGAGCAAAGAGTTCATAACCCTATGGAAATAGTTCTTATTTTCTAATTTGGGGGTTCTTACTGCCATTCACAATTTCTTCAGGAGCAACAGCTTGGCTCTCTACATGGTATGGCAATAACAGTCAGACCTTCCGCTTTTCCACAAATAACCATGTTATAAGCTGCTGCTTCCTTGTTTTATGTATTTACAGATATCAACAAGCCTATATAAAGCCTCTCCATGATTTGTTCATATACAGTAGTCTTCCTTTTGATATATTTTTAGATCAATTGCACTTAAACAATACTTCCTCAACCTACTGAACTTTGCTCTGGGACAGATGATCAAGGGAAATGCAAATACTGTGCTGTTTAAAGGATGGCAGCCAACATTTTCCACAGCACTTGTTGAAAGGGTAGAGTATTATGAAGGACAAAGAGTTCAGCATGACTCCAAAGTGGTGCAGCACCCATTCATGCTTACAAACTCTGCATCTGTCCTTTGAGCAGCCTCCAAAACAAGGTAAGTAAGAATTTATCAATGTGCAAGAAGGAGAAGCTTACACAACCTTTCATGTAAGACGTACATGTACAAGATAATACACGATCTTTCCATTTTCTAATAAACAGCGCCACTTTGAAGAAAACAAGAGCTTTAAGCCTCTTTGAAAATAACTGTATCAAAGAGAGAATTGTAATAAATAAGATGACTCATCAAGGAAAAGCTGTGTCTGTGTGCTCCTCTTCTTCTTTACTACACGGTACAATAAAGCTGTAAAACATTTGGAGAGGGAATTTTCCTACAGCTAGGTTGCTGTGTGCCTTCAAGCATATTACCTTAGAATCTCAGGAATGTCAAACCTACTCTTTTCTGAATTTTCCAGTGTAGAGGCCCAGCTTCTGGTTACTGACTCCAGTACAAGAAACCTTTCTATCAGATTCTGCCATTCCCCACAGAGAAAGAGGTGTGGGTGGCTAAGTACAGCCCTACCTGCAAGATTATTCATGGTCTAAAAAGCTTGATTGCTAAAAAAGCAGAGTGGACAAAAGTCACAGAAAAATGCGCAGACATGAGGACTTTTTTATATGGTTAAAGTACAAACTAAATGAGTCCCAATTACAGTATTGGGCACTGTTGCATGAAGATTTCCCTTCACAGGGTGTAAAGTACACCACAAAAAATTTACAGTGGTTTTGAAAAACAAGTTTCAGCTGCCTTATGTGCTGTGAAAACTCCTCTGTTCTGATTCTGTTTTGATCCATGCAGCTGATGCATGTCTTACTGTGCAGAGCACTGGTACAGGGAGAGAACCTGTTAGCATGTCCTAATGAATAATACTTTACATGCAAATTTTGTTTTAAAATGCAGATTAGCTACACAACTAACAATCAGAATATTGAGGAGAAAAGCACTTGGGACAACTGCAGTTTGCAAGGATGATACCTGAGATGAGAATCCACTGTGCAACAGAATTTACATACACACATGTTGCTACGTATTAGTGAAAAAAACCCACAGCAATTGCATCAGATACAGGACTACATCCCAGCAGGTAAACAAAACCACTTTAAAATGTTGAAAAAAACATTACAATGTTAATTCGTGTGCTTTCTAAGTGGAAACGTTGAGATATTTGACAAGATATTGAGATATTTGTTTTTCAACATAGTCTTAAATTACCAAACCATCTTGACTGGTGTATTCTAAAAGATACTCACAAACTAAATACAGTTATAGAAGGATATACCCTGGATAGGAGACCCCTAAAGAACTAAGATATTACTCCAAATTGTACTAGTGGTTCAAACTAATTTTCCCTGACTCAGTACTGGGTTAAATCCCCCCATATCATTTGGGAAGTACCACAGCAGGTAGGAAGTCACACATCTGATTGCATCTTCCAAGGGGGAAAAGAGTGACAGAGGTCATGATAAATATAACTTTGGGCAAGTATTGTACCAATTTTCATTTCCCTCTCAAGACTGAACTAAAGGTGCTATTCTCCACCCACAGATACACAGTTTCTAAGTGCTTATTACACGTAGAGACATCTCATGGCACCTGAATGTCATCTCTTCTATATAACTACCCAGGCAGATTCAGAATGCCTCCGTGGACAACAAAGAAAGGCAAAGTGCACACATCAATGCAAAACATAATCAAGTTATGTCTGCTTTGTA